ATTACCACACCTCTCAATGAAAACAGAAAGATAGCTGGAGTCTGAGAGGCAGAAACCCAGAAACAGTAAGAGGAAACAAATGAACAAATCAACTCCGTATACAGTGTTTACCCAAAGCAAATGATGCCTTCCCATTCTCCTCCTCCAGGTTCTTTCTAGTCTAACTCAAACCTGTCATTGTGCTCTATCCCAAGCCAACATTATATGCTTCGTACCCAGCTGGATTAGTTTTGCCTTGGATTTTTTTTTAAAAAGGGGAAAATTCATAAATTGTTTCATAATGCAATTAAATGTAACAGGTATTCGTTCTAGGATGAATTCCTGTTTTAAACAGCTTAATTATATACAATGACCACAGACTTGAATCTCTAACTCCAAACGTGGTTTAATTTGGCATTTGAAGTTAAATTAATGAAACTTACTGTAGAATAGAAACTTCAGAAAATGTCTAACCCAAACCCTTCATTTTATAGATGAGGAAACATGAGGCCTGGCCTGGAGAGCTTAACTGATTTGCTCGAGTTAGGAGAAATTAGACAAATGGGTCTAGAAAGCAGGTCTCCTAGGTTATTTCAATACCACCACATATCTTCACTAAAAATAAAGACAATTTTAGATAAATGATCAGTCCAGCAAACTATTCTGAGAACTCACCAGGATTGTGGACTAGAGAGATTCTATCACAATTAAAAATTGAAAGATCAGTTAATTCTTTGGCTTGAGACCTTGGAATTTACACCAGCAGCCTCATCACACAACATGGCTTATTTAAAAATGTTTCTTTCAAAGCAATGAATAAAATTCCATTGCCAACGAGTGGTGTTTTCAGTGAGAGTTAATGATTAAGCTTAAATAAATTCTTTGTCTTTTATTAAGAACAAAGTAAGTCTGATAAAGCCATAACTATTCACAAAACTTGAGTCTAAAAACATTTTTAGCCCTGTATTTATTTCTCTAGGGACAACAAAATAAACTACCTAAGCAAAAGAGAAGTCTTAATATACAAATTTGATTAACAAATCAAATGATTGCTCAAAATATAATCCTATGTTAAAAGTTCGAAAAATTACAATTGGCCTATTTAGCTGTTATTTCTGGCATTAAGCACTTTCAACATTACTTGGGTAGCAGAAAAAGTGAAAAAATGATGAAAAAAATAAGTATGTAGCAATAAAATATTTAAGCTGAATATTAAGAGAAAATAATATCCTAGTGAGCAACGTTTCCCAACGGAAAGCCATGAAAATTCACATCTGGTAAAGACAAAGCCAACACAGTAAACTAAAAAGTTCACTGTGCAGCTCAGTATAACACAAATATGAGTGAAGGATAAGTGACCACAGAACTCTTTTCCATTCCTTCTTCCACCCCCATTTCTAAATAATGAGGAACTAAAGAGAAATATGAGAAGTGGCGAATTGAGACAGAGGTTACATCTTTTCCTCTATGGGAAGTAGAAATTCCCATAAATCACTAACATAGTCAACAAAATCTAATTTTACTAAAATCAAATTCAAGATATTTTCTTAAAAAGCAGAGGAACCAACTAGGGTAACATAATTGTAAAACACAAAGTCTTCAAAATATCTTCAACACTCACCTCTTCTGGGGTGATTACACCTGTTTCCTTAAACTTAGATTCCTAAGGAGAGCAAAAAGAGTAATAGTATTATACTACCTTTCACCTTCAATTTAAACATGTTTTAGGGACAATTATTTGCCTGGTACCCTTCTAAGCTATGGAGCACATACAAAATATAAATATATAAAAAAATATATATATATATATTTATATATATATCACTAGTACCTGACCACAGGAATATATTAATACAAATCTAATGTAGGAAACAGGCATGAAAATCATTACAATATTATTTGATCAGTGCTATAATACCACAATGCTCTATGGAAAAACATTCAAAGGTTTAAATAAAAATGAAGCCTTATAGTGATTCTGTGAAATGACCAGGTATCTTTATTTTATAGCACAGTAAAAACATCTTAAAGATTTTTTACCCATCTTACAATTCAATGTCTTATTTAAACTGAGTAAACATTAGAAATCAAATCTAGAAATTACTTAACATTTTCCCCCATTATTCTCATCTCCACTAAGATGCTGATACAATATTCACTCCTTTAAAGCAAGGATGCTATTGATTAAATTTTTCTAAATGTTAAGTTACATGTAAGATTTTGTGGTAGGGTCTAAAAAAATGATTCATTCATGAACATTATTCATCCAACACATATTTACTAACTACATGTACCAGGCACTATTTGAGGCACTGGGGATACATGTGTGAATAAAACAGACCAAACTCATTCTTGCCCTCATAAGGAGTTTCAACTTTAGCTGAGGGGGGAAAAAAAAAAGCCAAATGGTAATGAACACCATACTACAATAAAAAATGAAGCAGAGGGGAAACTGTGGGGTAGTAGGGGAGAAATGGTCATTTAAAATAGAATGGTAAGAGAACAAACACATCACGGACTTGAAAACCATAGGAAAGGAACAAGCCATAAGGCTGTGGGATGGAAGAGCATTTCGAGCTGAGGGAAAAGCACATGCAAAATCCTGGAAGCAAGAATGTGGTTGATGAAATAATAAAAAAAGAGGTCAGGTTAGCTTAAGCAAGAGGGATCACAGTATAAAGGAAGGGATGAGACTGGGGCCTCTACAGATTAACTGGAGTCTTAAAGATGATTGTATGAACTTTGGCTTTTACTGCATGTATGTGCTCCAGACAAAAAATGATTTTTTCTTAATTTTTACTTGCTAAGAGAAGGCCACTATTTCTTTCCTGGGGATTTTGTTTTCTCTACTTCACTTCCCTGATCTAGCAGGAAACTATAAGGATTTTCTCTGTAAACCAACAGTTTGCACAGAAGTGACAAGGAAAGGGTCATTAATTCTGCTTTCCTTTTTACTAAAAATATACACCTTACACACTGAGATGCTAACACTTCTTTTTCAGTTTGATGAACGAGTAAAATGACTCCTCAAAACATAATTCTATGTCCTAAGTTCAATAAAATACAATTGGCCTATAAAATAGCCATTTTATATTTAATCTGGGGGGTCTCTTGCTCCTCTCTCACTGAAACTAAAAAGTTGTGACAATTGTGTATTATTAAAATGCTATATGCCTAGGCAGATATTCCATTCTGAAAAGGTAACATAATATGCAAAGAAGCATTTGGTACAAATGTCAAAATTATTTTCAAATTTTAAATAGCTAACTAAATAATCTTAATTAGGATAACTTTCATAGGAAACAAATACAAGCAAAACGAGAGTCGGAGTTCTCATTTACAATCGTTCCTGACTTTTTTCTTACTTGGCCCAACAAGGTATCATTTTAAAACGAGTCTTAGAAATCAGAATAAAAAGTACAGACTTAAACATTTCCCTTTGTCATGGAAAAGGGAGCAAAGTAAAACCGTCCACTATTCTTAACATATCAGAGTATTTCATCCCCACACTGAGACTGGTTAAATTCTAATTGAAAGCCTAAAAAAAAAAAAAAAACCACTAAGCAAATGCTTGCCATTCATTGACTACCATTATTCACTTTTCAGAAAGCAAAAATAAAGTTGTAACATAAAACTTACTACAAGAGTTATTTTAAAAAGTGACAGCAGTTTTAGAAAATTATCTTTGAAAATAAGAAAACAGTCACTGCTGTAATAACTATGTGTCATAATTTTTACTTTAAAAATGCTGTATTGTTTCCAATACATAAAAAATTACATATCCAGTATGGTCAAGCCGCTCCTTATTATCATTGTGTTAAGATTAACCACCAGCTGCGGCTATTTTAAAAGCTTGGGAAAGAGAGGTTTTGCTTGTTAGCTGGGTTCAAGTTTACTGAATGAGATAATGTTACAAATTTCACCTCTTTCCTCTGAAATCTAAACGAGTTGGGACCTCAGTCACAACTTACCTATTTCATACTTGTAAGAGAATTTCTATGAAACTTGAAAGAAAAGTGACATATCATTTTAGTACCAAATATTGGATTCATTTTTTAAAAAGATAAGCAAAATCCTTGTTTGAAAAACTTAAAAGGTTTCAGATGTTAGGATTTAACGTTCTTAAATCTCCTTGGCTGCCGACCACCTTCCAACCCGACACACCAAGCAGCGCAGAGTTATGACGGGTGAAGAGAAGAACACGCACAGAGCGTCGCCCCAAGTTTACCCCCGAAAAGCCAGTAAGCCATACAGAACAGCAGGGTAAGACCACGGACGGGGGCAGCACCTCTGTCCCACCCTTACCACCTTCCTACACCTTTCCCCGCCGGAAAAGACAGACTTCTCCGGCGCCTGGTCCTTGCAGAGTTGAGCATGTGTCTGACAGCCCCTGGCAAGCCCGGCCTGGCTTACCTTGAGGACCGGGGTCAGGTACTCAGCCACTTCCAGTGCCTTTCCCTTCACCGTGTTAATCACATTCTGCATCCTGGGGCCGGAGTAGCGACCGGCCCCGCGACAGGGTGGGATGGGCAGCCGGGACAGGGGCTGAGAAGTCAGAAAATGTCCCCGCTGCCGCCGACTCGCATCAGCACCCTGCCGGCGGCACCCGAGGGGACAGGACTGGACGCGACGGGACGGACGGGACGAGGGGGAGGGGCAGCGGGCACCGCGAGCGACAGCAGGGCGCGCTCCTCCTGCTCAGGCAGCGCGCACCGGCCGGGCCCAGCTGTCACGTGGCCGCGAGGGAGGGCAGCGGGGCCGAGGGGAGAGCTAGGGGAAGAAGCGGGCGCAGGCGCACCCCTTGCCCTCTCGGGCGCTGTCTTTCCTCCCTCTGCTTCACTCGCGCCTCTTCCGACTTCCCCTTCCTTCTCTCGCTCTCTTGCCGTAGCTCCGCCGCCACCTGGGCCTCACGTGACTCAGGACTTTCCTGGCACGTGACGCGGGACAGGCCGCGCTGGGGCGGGGTCAGGCCTCTTCTCCCCTCCCTCCGGAAGCGTAACACAACGCGCCTGCGCAATGGGGTTGGGTCTGCTCTTTCCCTGTCAGGACGCTATCGTGCTTTTTGTTCCGCACCAGGAGGGTTCGGGCCAGGGGCTTTTTCGCCTTTGTTTCCCACCTTAGTTTCTCCGCCTATGGGCCCTAAAAGATACTGCTGCTACCGCGGAACTATACAGTTCTTGTCTCAGCTCTAGGATGTACGTTCCGTCACTAGAAGCTCTTCTGAGGGACAGAGGTAACCGCGCCCCGCGGGCAGGCAATTGCGCGTGCGTACGAAGGGAGGGCGCGCTAGACGAGATCGCTCCTGCGCATCTGTGACGAGAAGGGGAAACCTGGCCTCCTGTCGGGGAGGTGTCGCTTTGGTCTCCTGTACGTTTGCGCCCAGTGGGCTGTCGGTATTGGCATTTCTCACCAGTGCCCCAGAAACTCTATGCGCCATCCCTACCGATACACAGGGAGGCTTTGAGCAAGTTACTTCCCCAGCCTGGGTTGAGGTCCTTAGACTCAACGATTTCTTTTTTTTTTTCCCCCCCAATACTTGCAGTATGAGAAGAGACTCATCGATTTCTAAGAGCTCTTCCGTTTCTAACACTAGTTCAGGAAAACTTAACAGCAGTGTTTCAGATATTTCCATTTCGGCCATTATTATTATATAATGAAATCTTTCCCAGCAAGCTCTTCTTCCTCCTCAGAGGTAAGAGATGGTACTGAGGAGAAAAATGCATATCTGAAATTCTCTTCTACAGCAAAATTGCTAATGAGAATAAAAACTAAAGAATTGCTTTTCTGCAGAATTCTTTTCTGCCGTCCCAAAGTGTCAGTTGTCTACTTGCTACCTTTGATTAGCATTTCTAATCCGGCCCTGGCCTTTCTGTCTGTAGAGTATGCCCTTCTGTCAGAGTTTGACTTTTCATTTCCTTTCCCCATAGTTTCTCCTGTACTCCTCAGCTTTCTTGGTTCTGATATAGTAATAGCCAAACATCTAAACATTTCTTTTCTGCTCTTCACAGTCAATGGTATTGGCATTATGCTTAATCTCCAGGTCTGACAACAGGGTTACTCATGAAAGTGTTCTTCTCTTTAAGGCAATTAAAAAACAGTGGAATGGAAAGAAAGTGCTGTAGTCGTCCTATGTTATGCTCCTTGTCAACAATGTACACATTCCTGCTGGGTGCCATATTCATTGCTTTAAGCTCAAGTCGCATCTTACTGGTAAAATATTCTGCCAATGAAGGTAAGTTAAGATTTCGAGTATGCATGGAGTACTTCCATCTAATCCCACATTCTCTCTCTCATCTTTGGTTTCCTGGTGTATAAAAGGGGGTAATAGTACCTCATCAAGTACTTTGCTTCATGTGAGTGATAAAGCATGTTTAAATTTGATTCTTTAACATTTCATTCCTCATCAAGAAAAATTTTTGACGCTGGATGAAATTTGGGTCAGTCAAGTACTGCATCAAAACCCTACGGGCAGAACAACAGATCGTAACATGTAACTAGTGCATCAATCAACAGGTGTTTCTCAGCCTATAGCAAAATGTATAATTGCAATTTATTTTGAAATAGGAGGATGTGTTTGGTCGCTTGGCATTTGTGAGGTGCTGTTGTAATTATTGGATCAGTGGTACACTATCAACATTATTGTATTCAATGGTATTGTATCAACAGTATAGATTGTAAGCTTTGATAAGTATGTATTCAAGAAATCTATTTTCTTAATGTAAGGATTTGAGCAAACACTAATTCCACAAAACTTTACTGAGTATTTCTCACTAGTTATTGAGGATACATAAAATCATGACCTTTAGTGGTCTCCTTGGGGAGTCAGATGTGTACATAAATCTCTACTTCTGTTAACATTTGTCTGCCAGGTACTAGGCTAAGTATTAGAAGCATGGCTCAAAGTACATGAGACAGACCTTGCCCTCAAAAACTCACAGTTTAATAAAGAGAGATACACATGTAAACACATCATGAAAATACATTATAATAAATACAGTAATAGAAATATGCCAAAGATGCAGAGATAGTCTAGAGGAGAAAACGATACGTTCCGTCTGGGAAAGGATGATGTGAAACTCAAACAGATCAGGGAACTGATACCTGATTAGGTGACAGTTGATCTACAAGAAGACAAGGTAGGCAAGGGTATTCAAAACAGGAGCAACAGCCTATAAAAGGAACAGAGGCACAAAGAAAGGAATACAACGAGAACACGTAATTCAGAATTACTGAACAAAAAGTTTAAGAATTTGGAGGAGGGGGGAGTGCTTGCCTGGAGAGGGCAGTTAGATCAAGTTATTAAGGACTTCATATGCCATGTTAAGGAGCTGGGACCTTATTCTGTAGGCCCTAGAGTCTAGGGGATAAGGAATACTTGAAGTATTATGAACAGGAGGATGAAGTGAGAGATTATTATGATAGCTGGATAGTATAGCAAACAGTGGGAAGCAGGATAGCCAGTTAAGGGGTTATTGCAAATTCAAGCCACAGATGATGAAGAATAATTTAGGATTTTTGAAGTAGGAATAGAGAGGATAGATTCAAGAAATATTTAGAACATAGAAAAGACAGGATTTGAGTTAGTTGACATAGCTCGTGCCTGTAATCCCAGCAACTCAGGAGGCTGAGGTGGGAGGATCACTTGAGGCCAAGAGTTCCTGATCAGCCTGGGCAACATAGCAAGACACCCTGTTTCTAAAAAAAAAAAAAGAAAAATCAGCCAGGCCTGCTGGCACACGCCTGTAGTCCAGCTACCCGGGAGACTGAGACAGGAGGATCGCTTGAGCCTAAGAGTTTGAGGCTGCAGTGAGCTGTGATCATGTCACTGCACTCCAGCCTGGGCAACAGATCAGGATCTCATCTATAAAAAGAAAAAAAAAGAAAGAAAGTAAAGACAGAATTTGTAAAATATGTTGAATGTGAGGATTAAAGGAGGTAATATATTGAATAACTCAAAGGTTTCTGGTTTGAGTGCTGAGTGGATTGATGGCATTCTCAGCTGAGATGGTGACTATCAGGAGGAAGAGTGGGTTGGGAAGAGTTCAGAGAGATTATAATTTTAGCTGTGTACCTTCCATGACACCAGAAGTTATCTCTTCACTGCCATTTCTTGCACTATCTGGCACATCATTCACATGAAGGAAATGACAATTAAATGAATAAATAGGTTGTTATTCATACGGATATGTTTAATGGGCAGTAAGTTAAAATGTTCCAGAATATAGATTTGGGGACATTAATGTTAAATTGATATTTAGGAGCAGAAGGCTCGTGAATAATGAAAGAATAAGAGCGAGGGCCAAAGTCTGAGGAATGCCAACATATAAGTGGCATGCCCACACTCAGAAGAACATTAAGAAGAAATCATTAGAGAGATGAGAGAACTAAATGCACATGACTCCTAGAAAGGAAGGAAAGAAACAGTTTGAAGACTGAGAGAGAATTGCAACATCATGATAAAGATTAAAACATGCCCTTTGCAATTAGCAATTAGAAGATGTTTGGTAATCTCAGAGAGTAGGTAGTTTCAGAAACCAGATTATTTCAGGATAAGACCTGAATGGAAAGTGAGTAAAGTGGAGATAATGAATGTTGATACTGTTTTAGGGAGAGAAAGAGAAGGTATGGTAGCTAGAGGGAGTAGTATCTTATATTTTCTTTTTTGGATGGGAGAGTTTTGAGAGCGTGTTTGTATGCCAAGGACAAGAAGCCAGTAAGTAGAAAGGAAGACAAAGGAGATATACTGAAACCAAAGGAAATACTTATTGGAGCTGAGTCCCTGAGGAGGAAGGAAGGTTTTAAAGGGGAGGGTGGGTAAATATTAGGGCCATGGCTGCTGCTTCTGGAACTGAAGGGAAACCAATGAGGATGGATTCAGTGTAGCTAAGGTATGTGAGTATGGGCAGGAGAGAAGTGGAGGGAAGTCGCACAGCATGCTTTCACATGGTTTGGGATCCACCAGGAGAGGAATATGAGAAAGAACCAATGAAAAACAAGAACAAGCTAAAGAATAGTGACAAGGGTATGGAAGTTGTAATCTGAAGCCCCTCGTTCTTGTGTGAACATGTTGGCTCAGATGTGTATCATGATAGAGATCATGAGAAGTATCATTGGAGGATAACAGTGTGATTTAAATCCAGCTTTGAGCTCAGAAAAAGGAGGAGATGTTTTAACCAGGCTTTAAGTAATGGAAAGGTGAACAGGCAAATATTTAAATTCAGGTGAACATTTATTGAATGCCAACTAGGTATATGAAGGTGACTAACATGGTTCCTTTCTTAAAAGGAGCTTATATTCTAAGGATAAGACATACACGTAAAAAATAATTATAGTACAGTGTGACAAGTGTTGCTATAGAAATTTGTAAGGTAGTGCTACAGGAACAGAGACAAATAAGGAACTGATTCTGACCGAGCACGGTGGCTCATACCTGGAATCCTAGAACTCTAGGAGGCTGAGGTAGGAGGATTGCTTGAGGTTAGAAGTTCAAGACCATCCTGAGCAAGGGCAAGACCTTGTCTCTATAAAAAAATAGAAAAATTAGCCAGGTGGGGTGGCACATACCTATAATCCCAGCTACTCTCAAGACTGAGGCAGGAGGATCACTTGATCCCACGAGTTTGAGGTGGCAGCAGTGAGCTATGATGGCACCACTGCATTCTAGCCAGGGCAACAGAGCAAGATCCTGTCTCAAAAAAAGAATGGATTCTGTTGAGGTTGAGAAGGTCAAGGGAAACCACAGAAGAGAGGAAGAAAGGGTGGTGTTCTGGATAAAATGTAGAGTTGGCTTTTTTCTGCTATACTTGGCCAGTTTTGCTTTTAATATGACAAAGAGAAATAAGCAAATGTTTTCAAAAGGGAAGAAGTAACATTCCTGGAAATAGTACCTAATAAAATTTATGTTTGTCTTTGGCAAAATTATAAAGCAAGTTGTTTGTAAGCATTTAGAAAAGACAAAGGTAAAAGTATAAGACTAAAGCATACCAACAAAACCTCATTTTCTAATTCTATTGACTTGTAGGTTAGGATGTAGTTTCCCAAATCATCAGTGGGTCTGGATGTGTCAGAGTGTTTTCTTTCAGCCCTAGAGGTAGCAGAGCCCTAGACCAGTTGCTTCGTGCCTCAGGAGGTTTCCTACTTTTATCCCAACGTACCATTTATCCCATAGCACCAAACAAATATCATTAATGTTTTCCATGTGTACCATGATATGAAACAGATTGGAAAACTCTGAGTTAAAGGGAACATCATAGAGTGTACCTTGATTTTAGCAATGCAAACAAGTTACAAGAAGAATTGTGAGCTGGGTAATAATTCAGCAGGTAAATTCATAACTGTTTGATGGGTCAAACTTGATTAATGGTCAATTATCAGGCAGTCCCCAGTGCCATACCCCAGAGCTTTCTTTGCCCTTGGCCCTAGTCTCCTTAACATGTTTATGAATATTAGCAACTTAGGCATTTTTATCAAATTCAAGGGTAACAAAAAGCTGAATGGGATAAGGATAGCTGGGGTGAATTGATTAAAAAAATCCAGAAGACCAAAGCCAACTGGAAGAAATTTAATATAACCAGTATTAAATCCAGCTGTTAAGCTTAAAAATAATTATAAATTATCTGTATATAAACATATAGAGGATAAAATTTACAATGAAAAAACATTTCTGTTACATTTTAGAGAACAAGTATGATTATCTTCCAACTACTGTGAATGTGTGCTCAGAACTGGTGAAGCTCGTTTTCTGTGTGCTTGTGTCATTCTGTGTTATAAAGAAAGGTGAGTCTTGAAATAGTACTATATACTTGTTAAAAATCACAGAATCAAAAAATGTTAGAACCGGAAGGAACATTTTATATCATTTAGTCTGATCCATTCATTTTATTTATGAGGAAGCTAAGATACAAGCATGAATATGTTTTATAGGTGGAGAAGCAGACTCAAGTGTTATACAGAGCTGGGTAGGAAGGGGCAGAGCTGGTTCACCAACCCGTTTTTCCCAATGTCCAACCCGTTACTCTACCTCACGACTTGTTCCTGTGATGGTTTCATGCCACAAGTTAGTTTTTATTCCATCTCAGGATTTTCTAAATCACTGTGCTGTCGACTTGATATAGATCATATTTCAAAAACAGTTCCCATTTCCTACAGGGAAGGTAGCATAGTATACTGGAGTCAAAGAGACAAGACTGTGTTTTGGGGCACATTATTTTAACTTCTCTGAGCTCCAGTTTCCTCAACTATCAAATAGGGATAATAATCTCTTCTTCCAATGTAAAGTATCTAGCCTTTTATGGAATGTATAGGTTCTTAATATGTATTAATTCTCCTACCTTAGTTCCCCAATTATTGAGCCTTAGCTCTCTGTACCTCTTTGCTCTGCCTTTTCATATGAGGTAAACATAGAATTTACAGCATTAAAGTGCTTGCCCCACACGATGTATTTTCATACTCAAGGATTTCAATCTGTGCAGTTTCTAGTTAATGGAATAAATTTCTTAATCTCATAAAATTCATGCATTATTTACAGGGCTTAAACTTAAAACTGCCTTTGTTTTTATTTTACGTTCTCTCTGCTATAGTCCCTTCCTAAGTATTTGGAAACCTGGACAAGGGATAATAATTCTCACTGGAATTAATAA